CCGACATGGATTTCAGCCATCTGAAAATAAACCCGACATCTGACATTTAAAACCTTGCTCTTAACGTAGGTTAAATGATTTATTATTATTTAAATATTTTATTGATACATAATATTCAAAATCAAATAATATGAATAATCATCACGGTTTTCGAACATATCATCATAAAAATACTATCATAAATCAATATAATATTAACAATTTCACAACAAAATCAACCATGTATGCCTTAACAATCATTCCAGAAGCATAGTCGTTAAGAAAAATATACATCACACATTATCACAGTAAGTTCTAATAGGTAATAGCATATTATAAATCTAAAAACAACTAATAGTAATCCAAGTGAAGTTACAGTTTTTATTTTTAAAAGAAAAGTACCAATTTTTATTACTTCTAAATTTGGTTAATTAGAAAAAAAGTAACTAGTAATTCTTTAATCTCTTTTTAATATTTTTTAGTGTAAAGTCTGATTAATTTGAATAAAACTCAATCACAGCCATTAAAATTATTTTAAAAATCAATATCAGCCCTTTAATAATTTAATCTAAGCTATAAAGCACTATGAAGACGCGTTACAAAGCGTACGCTATGGGTAAAATAACGTACGTTATTTTGTTTTTACGCTATTTTCCAACGCTACGTAGCGACAGGGTAGCGCTATATTATACTATGCGCTATTAGGGCTACAGAATCAGGTTTAAATTTTATTGTAAAGAACGGGTCGGTCGGGTTTCAAGTTCACTCAAGAACTGCACATTATCCAAAATCACAATCCAATAGTATGACCCGATAATTTCAATTTTTAGAGCCGCTAATATCAGTCGATAATCACCTTTATCACTGCATTATCGCCGATAAATCCCAAAAAAGATAATCGATTTAAATTTTAACTTATCCTATCGAAAAGCTCCCAAAATCGATAACTCGGGGATAATATTGGATTATCGATCGATATTTAAAAACTTTGCTTATTATGGTATGAGGCTAATAAAGATGTTGCACTAATGCAAAGCTGCCAACTACTATGGGCACTACAATAAGTCCAAAAGAATGAAGCTTCTTCACCAACCAAATTGACATGCGCTACCAAGGTTTTGAAAAGGTTCTACAAGAGTGGTTGGCCGGTCCACAACTGCTCAGCCATGCACTAGTACGCACCTCGTCGTTAATGAGGATTGATTGCAGCCTTATTGTACTAACCACACATCAAACGCTCTCTACTATCTGCGCACCACAACTGAAGATATTGCTTATTAATAGCAAACCTCCTTCACCAATCAAAGGGCTCCAACTTTGCTCGAAACTTCTAAAGTTCTTTTGCAATTGTTCCTCATTGTCGTTGCATATTGGTATACCTCACGCCAACAAGCAGCATAGCTCTTGTGGTCAAAGAGTTCACCTCTCCTTAGCCCTCTAAGTTGGATTTCCACTTAGATGCGCAGTTGAGTGTTTCTTCTTCGATCGATCACTTTATTCGTTGATCAAGTCCTTCAAAGAGAGCCTTCTCCAACACCTCTATTCAATCAACACTAAGTTTCGACATCCCTATCGTTCGTGTGCTCAGCAAGATTAAGAGTTGAGATCCTTGCGGCATACATTAATCGTTAACAAGAATGGTTAAGCCTGCATCAACTTCATCCGCAGCTAACGAGATCAAAATAATGAATCATAAATCGATTTCGAATTAGAAGTCCATATCCATAGATAATATAATTTAATCCAGTCTATATAGTATTTTCTATGATGATAAAGAAATGAAACGCATTTCACTTGCTCACAATTCTTATTCATCTACTAAATCTTTTGAAAAAAGAATTGGTTGAACCTGAAAATTTACTCTCTAAATGAATAAACAATTGAATTTTATTCGGTTGGGTAGTACCAACTATATCGAGTGCTAATTCCCATTTATTTCTTATTGAATTAACCGATCAACTTGCTTTTGTCAATTCAATACTTTGTACTATTCCAATTCCAATAAAATTTTTGACATATTTCACTTCATTATGAAAATCAATCCTACTGCTTCTGATCTTGCGGTTTCCACACTTGAAGAAAAACATAGGGCATATTACTCAAATTATTGGCCTAATACTAGATTTGTTACCCTATCTTTAAAATGAAAATTAGACGTTTCGACATGAATCTCAACACTCACTTGTTCAAATTCTACATATTAATCATTTTGAGCTGAAATCAAGATTTTTAGTAGAATATTTAACTATGTATAATATTCCGACACACAAAAGTCATACAAGTCTATAGAACATAGAAAAACGGGATATCTATGACAAGTATCCGCGTGATGAACCAAATACTAATTGAACTTTATTTTTCCATTGTAAGCAGCTCATACATGTTCGACAATATCGCCTATGAATACTCCACCTGTATGAAAAGTTCTTAATGTTAGTTTAGCCCCTATTGCTCCAATTAATTGACCTATGACTTCTCCTAATTCGACCAGGTCGCCATGAGTGGGGCTTCTTCCAAAACATAGTTTACGGATCCAAGATGAATTCCCAAGTAAAGGGGGTTCAGATATATATTGGTTGTGCTCGAAAGGTTATGAAACGATTGGTAAGTCTAGTCCCAATATCTTGACCAATTTGCTATGTACGAATGATGAGAGAACCAATTCCAATATTTACTAAATGTTCCTATTGGCGTGCATCCAGCAGGAACTGAACCTACGAAATTGTCAATTATGAGGTGGGCACTTTATCCATTCAGCCATGGATGTTTAACAGGGCTCGTGATACATCGTGAATAACCAAATTCCAATTGAAATGATATCTTTAAGAAGAATAAATGGAAATCCTTAGAAGGAATCAATGAAACGACATCAATTCAAAACCATGATCTTTGAATTAAGAGAATTAAGAGAGATTAAGAATTCTCACTATTTCTTAGATTCATGGATCAAAACAACATTATGCTTTTCTAGGACTTGAGTACTCTAATATGGATCTCCTCTAAAGGAGAGAAAGCATTACTAACAAACCAATCTCTGTGAGGAGATTAATTAGCTTCAAGACTACATATTACAACTCTCACTTCAATAAAAAGTATTTCTGGCCTACTCTACTACAAAATATCTGCAAAACATAACAACGCCATAATGTGACTTGTGTCAAAACAAATAAGTCACAACTATTGTAGTATTGCTCAAATCTAATATCTTGTTATCCTTAAACCTAATCCAAGCCAGATAGAGCTGGATCTAAGCAGTGTTGTAAATAGCGGCCAATAGCGGGGCTATAGCGGCGCGAATAGCGGTCGCGGCCCTTCAACGCTACGCGTAGGGGTTTCGCGGCTGGCTTAAGCGGGAAAATCCACTATTCATTCGAATAGCGCGTAAAAGCGGCTTTTAGCGGGTTAAAAGCGGGTTTTCGCGGTTAAAAGCGGATTTTCGCGGTTAAAAGCGGATTTTTGTTGTTAAAAGCGGCTAAACCCGCTAAACCCGCTATCACACATATTATGATGCTATATTTCTTGAATTTCTTCATAGTTTCATTCATACAACAAGCCTACTAATTGTTATTTACTGATAATACAAGAAATTTACAACTAATTAAATTTTTAGATTTTTTTATGAATTTTCTTATTATTTAGGATATTTAAATATATTTAAATTTGACCGCTATTTGACTGTGCGCTATTTGCCGCGATTTCGCCGCAATAGCCCGATATAGCCTTAGCGGTACCTCGCCGCGACGCGCCGCGGTCCGCTATCAGCAACCTTGGATCTAAGATATGCTCAAATTTCGGTTAACCATGCAAATGAGATTAACTGGGATGTATAGAACCAGTTCCCTTGAGGTATGAAAAAAAATCCTATACAGAGCCCTTTATAGAAGATCATGTAGGGAGGTAGGAGCTGATAGCATCGTGCATATCAAGGATCTTGATACACATATCACTGATGTGTATCATTGCATTTCACTATTCTAACTATGTTTATATGAGGTGCCCACACTAATGTTGATTGTACTAAAAGAGACTGCATTTATTTACTTGAGCATTTATACACTGAGTGTCAACCTCCCCTTCCTCCTTATGTGATATTATATAAAGGACCCCGACCCTCTATAGTTTTTTTTGTACTAAGTTGTGTGAAGTGTTCGAGTTTGTCCTAAATTCGACCCAGATCTACTCTGTTTGAACTTTAGCTTGGATAGATTCAAGTTGGCTTAGATCCTAGATTTCAACAAAAGCTATTAACTAGATCTTCAGACAATCTATGTCAAAATAAGCTAAAATTTCATGTTGGCCATCTCAAACATACCAAATATAAAAAATTAATGCAAAAAAACTCATTTTGACCATCTCCAACATAAACTAGTCGGACAGACAGGGCTGGATTCAAGATATGCTCAGATCTGTTAGCCATGCATATGAATCCAAGCAGAATGCAAACTGAGACTGACACCGTAGGCACCCTTCAGCGAGTTCGCGTAAGCCATGAGAAAAACATACATATAGGACCCTCTATAGAATATCGTGTAAAGAGGAAGGAGGGGATAACATCTGGCACATCAGAAATCTTGATACATAGTAATGATGTATAAGAAATGCACTATACTGATTGCATTATGCCTGCACCAATGGTGACTGCACCGGTATGCCAGGTGTCACCCTCTCCTTCCTCCCTATATGATATTATATAGAGATCCACTACACCCTACATGATATTATATAGAAATCCCTCAATGGTTTTTTTTTTCCTTTCTTTTTTTATTATGCAGAGGTGAGGGTAGTGTTCAGCTCTGTTCAAAATCCGACCAGATCCTAACCAGGACGGGCTCCAACTGGCTGACTCCAGTTGTCCAGTCGGCTCAGATCGTAAATTCCAACACAAGCTATTAACGAGCTCGAGTTCTTAACGCAATGTCACAATCCATGTCACAACAAGCAAAAGATTCCATTTTTTTCCTATGTTAGCAGACCAAAGGATAAAATTTTTACACAAAACAGCAAAAAAGACGAAGACGCACCTCAAGAGCGTGCTTGAACCGGCGAAACTTCCTCAGCTCCTTCTTAGCAACCCGACAAAGCAGCCACTTCGACAGCCTCTTCTCCTCCTCCTCCTCGCACTGATCCAGCACAGCCCCAGACCCAAGGCTAGGGTTCTCCATCGTCGATATCCTCCGATACAAAGCGCTCCACTTTATCGCCGGCCGCTTCTCGTAGTCCACAGTCCCATAGCTGTGGACCTGAGAGATCGAGCATCGAACTGGACCGAATCGGATCGATTCGGATTTGAGGATTGGAGCGGGGGAGCGAAAGGAGATTGGGATTTGAGAGTAGGAGGACTTGGAGGTTGCGAAATTGAGGGGGTTGACGAGAGGAGAGGTTGGGATTCGGAGGAGCATTTCTAGGGTTTTGGGGGGATTTTCTAGGGTTTTTGGGAGTCGAGAGAGGGGAGGAAAGGTTTTGGATGAAGAATGAGAGGTGAGGGGAGGAACCGAGAGCGAGGGGAAGAGTTGGGTACATGTTGGGCCTTTGCATTGGGCCCCATGTGGCCCAGTTAAAGCAATTGGACAATATGGAAATATTTACGGTTTGAGTGGAATGATAATGGATCAGGCCTAAAGAAGGCCCCAACAGGTAGCCCAGAATTTTTACCAACCATTATTTGTTCTACTCCCCTCAGAACTTTGGATGAATATACGATACTCCCCCAACAACTTTCAAAATATCACAAAACCATCCTTAAGTTGGGGGGTGTATGAAAACTCCCGTTAACATTAATATGTTATAAGAAAAACTCCTAACAATCTTAACTACAATTTGCATATGGGTTGGTAAAATTACGCAGGGGGGGTTTAATAATGAAAATTACGGTAAACACTGTGAATTTATAAACCATAACTACACTGTAGCCTCGAGCATGTGAGAAAACCGACTTGGGCTATCAAGGCTATCATACGCCCATTCTCAAGCGGCAAACACATATGTCTGGGGCTATGATCAACCATAACTAGCTTTCGTGCTCTCCGCACAACAACAAAATATTATATTAGAGTATAACAATGGAAACTAATATTGGAATATAAAAGAAAAAGATCATGATTTATATAACTTATTCATGCATGTACGCCTCAAAAATTGTTACCTCTGTAAATGAAATGACATCATCTCCGAAAGGTGTCATGATTGATCATATAGGACGTCATCACTAACCGGCCCGGGAAGCATAGTGTATATACATGCACATATAATTGGCAACATATTAGTTCTTGCTATATCAATAAAACTATAATAATCAATAAGACTATAATAAAAGGGGTTAATTAGAGATAGATAACTTATTACCAATTAATTGTTATGTACTTGTTCTTGATGGACAATAAGACCTATTTATGACCAAATTGATTACATTGACTATATTTAATTCGTGATGCCACTCCTTCCTGCTCTTGATACATGGTACCTCTAATGCACACGGATCGAGATCTTCATGCTTGTCTTTTAAACTGAGGTGGTAATAGACATGGTCCATGTATAAGCCGGTCAATAATGTCTATCATCGGGAGGATGAAAACTCTTCTTATAAGCCTTTCGGTAATGATTCGTTGAATACCAAACTAAACAATACCGATCATAAGGCAATTTAGCGCCACCATCTTGATTCGAACTAGCCACCATTCGTGACATGACCCGAAGCATTATGGAACATATCACTTAACGTTGCACAATGGGAAGGCCTATCTAAATGTAGTGGTTAAGTCCATGTCATTTCACTCAAGTCATTTTCTAAGTGCACAGTACTCATAGATGAAATGAATTCGCTCGAGTTATTTTCTAGGTCAAGCATTCGGGAGAACTCCCTTGGAGCATATGAAAGTTGGACAACACATTAGAAAATTTTCAATGAACAACTTGACTAAGATTTGGTTTTCCGCAAGTTGTAACATGTCAAACATTTCTTGATCATTAGTGATCTTTGCAACAATTGTTCTTTTTTCATTTATCGCTCAATTACAAAAGACCGTAGTTGCATACTCTACATCATTAATTCCAATTATTCTATATTTTTGCTCCACTATTCATTTGAAGTTGCATTTCTAAATAAACATGAATACTTTTCAATATCCTAGCTTCTCTGTATATAGGCATATTATTCATTCCAACACTTAGTTTCCCATTGAATAAGCAAATAACGTGTATTCCATTTGCCATCAAAACTGAAATATTAACATTCATCATATACAATTTATATATATTATTCATAAGTTAAATTTTATATATCTTATTTATAGTTAAACCTAGTTAAACCATTGTTGAAAGACCATTTATATCAAATTTTAACCAAATCATATTGTTTATCAAAATAAAAAAATCATTATAACCCTATAGTTATTTCTAAGCTACAATTATAACTAGGAAATAGAGAGAAATTTATAAAAAATAGAAAAATTTACCTTTTATGAAGAGTTGAAGTTCATCGGCGTCGGAGAAGATAGATGGTATCATAGTTCACCAATGTCAGAGTAAACTTTTGGGAAGATCATCGGTTTGGATTTGGAGAGAAGAAGAGAGAGAAAATTGAGGGAGAAGGAGGTGATGTGGAAGAGGATGAATGAAACTAGGGGAGAGATATTGAGGGAGAGAGAGATTGAGGGAGAGAAATTAGCATCACCCAAATTTTTTGGGGGCAGATGGAGTTTATATACATACGCCCGACAAATTCACTGGACTTAGTCTCATTTATTTGTTGGGCCGACAGCAGCCAAAGGCTCTGTTAAACCCACAAGACTAGTAGTCCCGTGAGTTTTCTGTGTACTGTTTAGCTCGCGATTAGTGAATATTAAACACACAAGACTACTCCTCCTGTGTTTTGAAACCGACATTTTGCAAAATCGACCTCTTTTTGACCATCCTTGGTGAGTTGGCAAAAAAGAGGTTGATTTTACTAAATATTTAGTAAAACAGTTATTTTTGCTAAATATTTATAAAAAAATGGTCTGTTTGAAAAAAATTATCCTTTTAAAACTTGTACTTAAATCCCTAATTTTTTTTAAAGCTTGCACTTAGATACTCTCAAGTTTGCATAACTAAGGGTATTTACTTTAAAATTAGGGTATTTCATTCTCAGATTAAAAAACTATAGGATATTTAAGTGCTAAATTTAAAAACTTTGGGTTATATAAGTGCTAAAAAAATAAGCGAGAGTATATAAGTGCAAATATAAAAAACTTTAGGGTGTTTTCCCCCTACCAAAGAAAAACGAGAGTACATAAGTGAAAGGCAAATGAAGCAATATGTATATAAGTGCTATTTAGCCTTAAAAAATAGGAGGTGTTGTTTTGGGCTTCTCAAAGGAGCCAGGTAGGAATTTTTTTTTAAGTTATGATTTTCTATTCTTTTGGTTCCCTTCAAACTAAAGATTGAAAATAATTGCTTTTCATGTTTGATTTTTGAATGATTTTGATGGGGAAAAAAAGACTAAAACAATGAGTGGTGTTAGGGGCACACCCCAAACCACACATCCCCTCTCATTCGCTACAGTACTCCGGTCCCCACATGAGTTTTTAAATTTTAAAAACTCATGTGGGGCCCGGAGTACTGTAGCGAATGAGAGGGGAGGTGTAGTTGGAGGTGTGACTTGGGGTGTGCCCCTAACATTTCTATAAAACAATAGCCAAAGTTTCAGGAAACTATGGCAAACTCCAGAAATGATATTTTCCTGCACGGAATGCGTTTCGCTCTCCCTCCATCCCCGCTAGCCTCCATCTCATCCTTAATCATTGACTTTTAATCAAAATCCGAAGGACTAGTTTCGAAATAGAAAAGATGTGGGGAACCAAAATAAAAAAAAGAGCCACGTAATAAATGACCATTTAGGCTACTACCTACAGCTGTCATCTCACTCTCACATCTTTCACTTCATATTCCGGCGGCAAAATTCACAGATTTCCCGCCAACCCCCCGCCCCAAGAAAAAAAATCTCCCAAATCCCTCAATCCGACTTCGAAATCGAACCCGAAATCGAAAGAGAGGAGAATGGGTTCGAAGTACAGTTTCCTCGATCTCGAGTGCCGAGCAAGAGGTCATCCTCCTCACCTCCCCTTTCCTCAACACCGACCCTGACTCCATCAATGAGATCGCGATGAAGGACGCGATCGAAAAACTCGAATTTTGCGACGAGGAAATCCTGTACATCGAAAAAAGGCATCCGCTTTAACACTCTGCAACTTGTTTACACTGCCAAGGTGTCATTTTTAACCTCTTTTTTTTTTTGAATTGTTTGCTTGCGTTTTGATCTTGGGTTCTTTTGATGTTAGCCCTTAAATCTTTGGTATCTTGAATCGGTCTCTCAAATCATTCAAGTTTCTACCAGGCGGCCCTGGACTATTTTTGTGCTGATTGTTTTCTCTTCTTCGTTTTTTGGCAGTCTTAAGCTTTGACGTGAAGTGGTAGTGGAGGAGGGTGGCTTTTGGGGGCAGAAGATGGTATTCTGTCTTATTGCTATCTATAGTTAGCATTTCTACTATGTTAATTTTGAGGTGCTAGGTGTTTGAAGAAATGATTTACTCTTAGTTTGTTTAGTATTATGATTTATGAGCTACTTGCAGTGTGCTAACTCCGTTCTTGTGATAATTATATATTATATATGGTTAATTATGCTATGCATAAGAGCAACTCCAACGGTGATACGTGTGTATCTTCTCTTCGGAACTTAGCGATCCTCATGGGAGCTTGAGGATAGATGATTCTCATGATCGCATGAGAATAGAGGTGTCAAATAGTATAAGGGAACACAGGAGAAAGCGTGGAACGAGACGACGAGCAGAAGAATCGAAGTACCCAGTTTTCAGCCTGTGAGTTGACTCATTACAGTCATGAGTCGACTCATCAGGTTGAGTCGACTCATGACTGTCATGAGTCGACTCATCGCTGGTTGTTAAGATTTGTCCAGTTTCTGTCGAGTCGACTCATCACAGTCATAAGTCGACTCATCGAGGGTTTCCTGGTTCGTTTGAGATTCTGTTCACACGAATTCCTGTTGGTTTTGGGTCTGGTTATCTACCAAACTACCATCCATGTTTGTACACCTATATAAGAGATTGTTTTAGGGTTTCTAAACAATCAGAGAGTTAAATCAAAAGAGATTAACTTGTAATTAAGATTTGGAGAGCTTGTTCTTCAATTCTAGAGTGAGATTGTGAGAGATTGTAAATTGCATACTCATAATCTAGAGAAGGTATTTTTCTTCGCCCAAAATCTGAGTTATTCTTGTATTCTTATTATTTTCTCCTCAAACCACCTTTGATAATTCCGCGATCAAAGGTGCTCGCACGGCAACTCGTATCAAGTTGGTATCAGAGCGATCAGATCCTACGAAGGGGGCATCCTGTGCATGGTCCTGACTCGATCGCAATACAAGAAGTTTGGCGAGATCCTTACTTCCTTGGAAGGAGTCCAAGAGTTAAGGAAGAAGAATATGTCTGAAACAGATAACT